GAAATGAGAATAATGATGCTATATAATAACAAAATTATGATATTAATAACAAAAATGATAAGGATGTTTATGAAAATGATAATAACGATAAAATCAATAACAATAGAGATGGTAAGGATAAGAAGAAGAAAGATGCCAAGACTAATGGAATAAAGATAATAACTGATTACTATCACCACTATTAGCATTTCAATTGATATCATCATTATCATTATCGTCATCAACCAATTTATCAATATCTTACTAATAACAACAACGATAAAGAAAGAAAAGAACAATGCTTAACATACTCTTTACCTTTATAAGGATACAGTATATTATATATATATATATATATATATATATATTATATATATATAATATCTATCTATCTATCTATCTATCTATATATATATATATGTGTGTGTTGTGTGTGTGTGTGTGTGTGTGTGTGTGTGTGTGTGTGTGTGTGTGTGTGTGTGTGTGTGTGTGTGTGTGTGTGTGTGTGTGTGTGTGTGTGTGTGTGTGTGTGGTGTGTGTGTGTGTGTGTGGTGTGTGTGTTGTGTTGTGTGTGTGTGTGTGTGTGTGTGTGTGTGTGTGTGTGTGTGTGGTGTGTTGTGTGTGTGTGTGTGCGTGTGTGGTGTGTGTGTGTTGTGTGTGTGTGTGTGTGTGTGTGTGTGTGTGTGTGTGTGTGTGTGTGTGTGTGTGTGTGTGTGTGTGTGTGTGTGTGTGTGTGTGTGTGTGTGTGTGCGCGCATATACATATACATATATTTTTATATCCATTATATATATTCAAATTTATATCTAGATATATTTTCATATATTTATAGGACATATTTTTTTCTTCTTCTAACATACCTTTGCACCAAAGTCTTCGACGCCTCCAAGAGAATCCTCCCGGTGCATTCTGCCTCCTTCTTCGCCTCCGGTTCTGCTCTTCGGAAGGAGAAGAGGAGCCGCCCTGCCTGGTCTGGGGGCGGGGCGGGGAGGGGGGGGAGGGCGGGGAGGCTGCGACCCCTACATCGCCGACTGGAGGTGCCCCGGGTAGGAAGGCTTGGGTGGAGAGAGGGAGGGGGTGAAGAGGGGGTGAGTGGGCGTAGTGAGGTAGGGTTGTCTTTTTTTTTTTTTTTTTTTTGGGTCTGTCTTCTCTGTCTATTTGTCTGCCTGTCTGTATGTTTATGTAATCCACTTACTCTCCTTTTTCTCTTTCTCCCTTTTCTATATCTTTCTATTTATCTATCCATTCATCTCTCTCTCTCTCTCTCTCTCTCATCTCTCTCTCTCTCTCTCTCTCTCTCTCTCTCTCTCTCTCTCTCTCTCTCTCTCTCTCTCTCTCTCTCTCTCTCTCTCTCTCTCCCTCTCTCTATTTCTTATATATATTTGTATCAAGAACAGGACCCGTGTCACAAAGTACATCTAGTCTGTACAATGTAGCATTTGTGTAAAGAAACACGTGCTATGTATCAAGAGGACACTTCTCTAAAGCCAGGTGAGGAATTCCACCAGAGCGAGGGCACATGGACACATCAGCTGACGGGAACACATCAGCTGACGGCCTTCCATGGACACATCAGCTGACGGCCTTCCATGGACCAAAGGGTCAGACGGATGGACACAGAAGAAGGGAGTGGGAGGGGACAGTGAGTGAGCCAATGCACGTGTATGGATCTGGAATGGACTAAACTTTTGTCGTTGCAGCCACACACACACACACACACACACATACACACACACACACACACACACACACACACACACATACATACACGCACGCACACACACACACACACACGCACACAGTGACTGCTCAGTGTCAGCCCGGGCCCGGATTCACTAACGCACTTACGATGGTAAAATCACTGGTAACTATAGTTACCATGGTAAACAGACAGCGGTGGTATTCACTAACAACTTGCCATCGGAGTTACCATGGTAAATTATACCAGTAGTCAGAGCACTGGTAACTTCTGAGAAGTCTTCTCGTGTTATCTCGTAAAAAAATCAATATCTATGCAAAGTTTTGGGTTTGTTTTTACACCTTACATAACTAATATGATGGCAAACAGATATCACAATGCGGACATAGTGAAGAAATGCAAATTTCACATGGAACTAGCAAGAATAAAATCCACGCAAAATCTCGTGAACTTATAGGCCTACATTACACTAGAATGCATGGAACCGATAAGTGAGCTTTAAAAAAAAATCTCAGACATAATTATTACAATTGCTATAGAAAAAACTGCCTTGCTGATATATAAACTGGTAATGATGAAAAATATATAAATGAAAAGCTGTTTGGAATGTCTCTTTGGTTTTTGTTAGCAATAATATATTAATATAACAATGTTTGTATTGGTTCGTATCTGTACAGTAAATATATATCCAACATGATGGATGTAATCAAATAAATATATTATTTTTTCTACATGTGCTTAAATAGCGTTTTATCTCTTGACGATTATTTAAACAATCTCGCTGTGTCTAGTTCTGTTTACATGTTACGTGATTGGCCGAAGGAACCTAAAAGATTATGTATGGCGCTCGCTGATTGGTGGAATTGCTTTAAGCCCTCTGTGGCTGCCATTAGAATGAGTCGATTTACGATTGTAACTCAGCATATCCAAATTACCATTTCTTCGTGAATACCACTTTGCCATGACTGGTAAACGCAATGGTAAATGACCGCTGGTAATTGCGTTACGATCGTATGTTAGTGACTCCGGCCCCTGGATTCCTTCTGTTTCTCCGCCGCCAAAGGGCTTACCAACAACTTCCGGGAACCTGGCGGGTGGCTCCTGCAGGGCCTGTGCTCGCTCGAGGCCGATGTCGAGGGCGTCGAGCACGCTGATGTCGGCGCCGCTGCTCTCCCCGACGGCGCCGAAGATGCCGCCGGTCGGGTCGAGTCGTATAGGCTCGAGGTTGAACCGCTGGGCGTCTGCGGGAGGGCAGCACGCCCACGCGGCCGTAAGCGCCACGCACCTGTGGGCGGAGAGCGATTTTTGGGTAATGAGGACAAAATATATGTATACACTTGCATGGTCATACAACACACACGCATTACACCCCGTATACGAAACCCACGCATGCTTTTGCCACAAATACTCATTCGCACGAACAAAGAGAATCCACGAGAAAACTGCAAATGGAAAATCTTCAAAAAGGCCATCGTAAGAAGAGGAGGAGGAATGACGTTATCGACGATGATTTACGCGAAACACAAACACGACCCACTCCCGGAGTCCAGCCAAGGTCACCCGGGTTATTTTTTTATTGCCTGGGAACACGCAGATGGATGCTTTCACAGGCAGAGGCGCGGGACCCGTCTCTGGCTTCTTCGATTTACTGTCTCTCTAATTTTGCGATTTATGCTTATTTACTATTTATGTTTTCTAGCAACGGTGAGGATTCTTGCAGGTACTGAAGCACATACATGTATATTTACGTTGGGTGGGTGTGTGCACTTTTTTTGTGTGTGTGTATGCAGTAGATAGATATATAAGTAAACAGAGAGAGAGAGAAAAAGAAAGAGAGACGGAGACAGAAACATAGAGATGGAGGGAGAGAGACAGAGAGAGAGACAGACATATAGACAGATAGAGAGAGATTGTGATGGATGATAAAAAAAAAGACAGATGAGAGACAGATGATAAAAGAGAGAGAGAGAGGCAGACAGACAGAGAGAATAACAGAACCAAACCTACCACATAAAAAGAAGGAATCATAAAACCAACCAATAAAAAAAAATAAAAATAAAAAAGAATAATGAAAAGGGAACGAAAAAGAATGTATAGAATATTTCCCAATGGCAGAGAAGGATCAGGTGAAAGTAAGGTCTGCCAATAACCTGATCTCCCAGGTAAGGGTCACGTGTCAGGGGTTGGGAGTCTGCCATACACAGTACATAAGCATACGTACACGCACACAGGCGTATCGCACGCACACACACGCGCGCGCGTTATACACATACATGCAAAAACACATATACGTAAACAAATACATATATAAAATATATACATAGATGGATATGCATACATACACGCATGTATTCATGCATATACATACATACATACACACACACATGCACACATACAGATAGACATACATAACCACATACAGACATACACACACAGTACATACATACATACATACTAAACACATCTACATACATACAGTACATACTAACACATACACAACACAGTACACATACATTGTCATACTAACACATACACACACAGTACAATACATCCATACAACACATACACACCAGTACACACACATACATACATACATACATACATACATACATCATACTAAACACATACACACATACATACATTACAAAATAAATACACCATAGTACAAATACAAATACCCCTAAAACACAATACACACAAGTACATACACACATACACATACATACTAAACACTACTAAACACATACACACACATACATACATACATATATGGTGTCGAACCTGACCTTGCCTTGCTAATTAAGAAAGGTGATCTAGGACGAAGAATATGTACTTGGGGATGAATACCAGTCGATCAGGTTACGAGCAGGAAACCACATTGGTATGATCGCTTAGATTCGCGGTTACACTTACGAGTTTGCAGAGATTTGTGTATTGTGATGTGTGTGTGTGTGATGGTGTGTGTGTGTATGTGTGTGATGTGTGTGTGGTGTGTGTGTCTGTTGTGTGTGTGGTTGTGTACAATTGTGTGTGTGTTGTGTGTGTGTGGTGTGTGTGTGTGTGTGTGTGTGTGTGTGTGTGATTGTGTGTGTGATGATTGTGTGTGGTGTGTGTGGTGTGTGTGTTGTGTGTGTGTGTGTGCTTGTGTGTGTGTGTCGTGTGGTGATTGTGCTGTGTCGTGTGGGTTATGTAAACATTGTTGGTGTGTGTTGTTGTGGCATGAGTGTGTGTATGTGGTGGCCGTGTGTTGTGAGTAGGATGTAGTGATGGTGTGTAGTGCTAGTGTGGTGTGTGTGTGGTGGTGTGTGTGTGTGTGTTGTTGAAATTGACGTGGATATTGCTGTCGTGCTTGATGTAGCGTGTGATGTGTGTATTGAAAGTGTGATGTGTAGTAGTAGTTGTTTAGTCAGTGTGTGTAGTGATATGTGACGTGTGATGTGTGTGTGTGGTTGTGTGTGTGGTGTGTGTGTGTGTGTGCGGTTGCCCAGCTCCCTCTAAGTTTGGTTTCATATCCGCGAGTTTTATCCCAAGCTTCTGATCTCTTCATTTCTACTGTTTTTTTTTTTTTTTTTTTTTTTTCCTTTTTTTTCTTGTCTTTGTTGTCTTTACTGGCTTTAAACGATACCCTTGGATATCTTTTTTGTTTCACCTATGCGGACAACAAACAGATACCGAATATAGATAATTATGTCGGATTCTCTAGTTCTGGCATAAGGAGAAAGAATGACGAAATGCACTGGAAATTCAAATATATTGGTATTTCTGGGCGTTGAACCCCTTGTATCATTTTGTTATATACTAGTTATCAGAAATAATATATTCCTTTTTGCAGGTCGTTAAAGGTGACCTAGATTTATACAAGGTAGTCCTATCTCGATGGACATGTTCAATTTCCTGTTTGAGGCCAAATGACCGTAATAGTAACAGCATGAGACTTAGCTTGTAATTTTGGGTAATATATATAATATATATATATATATATATATATATATAATAATATATATATAATAATATATATATGTATATATATATATATAACATATATATACAATTACATACATATATATATATATATATAATATATATATATATATTATATATATTGGCTTTTCTTTGTCTATCTCTGACATTTTCGTCACCTCTCTCTCTCTCTCTCTCTCTCTCTCTCTCTCTCTCACTCTCTCTCTCTCTCTTCTCTCTCTCTGACTCTGACTCTGACTCACTCACTCTCACTCACTCTCACTCTCTCTCTCCTCCTCTCTCTCTCTCTCTCTCTCTTACTCTCTCTCTCTCTCTCTCTCTATCTTTCTCT